GCCTCTTGGGCGGTGGGGTAGCCTAGTGGTTAAAGCGTTGGCTCATCACGCCGAAGACCCGGGTTCGAATCTCCACATGGGTACAATGTGTGTAGCCCATTTCTGGTGTCCCCCGCCGTGATGTTGCTGGAATATTGCTAAATGCGGTCAGTCTCAGTCAGTCAGTCAGACCTGCATCTGTTAACATAGAGGTGCCTCTCTGGCATCAGTATGTGCATGTGTTAACCTAGAGGTGCCTCTCTGACATCACTACATGCATGTGTTAACCTAGAGGTGCCTCTCTGGCATCACTACCTGCAATGTGTTAACCTAGAGGTACTTCTCTGGCATCACTACCTGCATGTGTTAAATTGACGGCCATTTTGAAAATGCCACAAGGCATGATATCAATATATACTAGCCACATAAAGAAACTGTGCATTGTCAAAATAGTATCCCAGTTGATAAGTACGATAACAATGTCAAAGGTACATATACACTTTAATGGAGGGATCATGAGACCATAACAAGTCGGGAGAATTTCAATTGAAAAGTCAATCACAATGACGTCACGAGTCCACAAGCGGGACAGGGGTCAAACGACCATGTCACAAGCTCAATAACGGGTATGTCCACCATCGGCATTGAGAACAGCAGTGCATCGACGACGCATAGAGCCTATCAAACGTGCAAGGAAGGCTTGTGGGATGTCACGCCAGATTCTCTCAAGTTCTTTTGCAAGGTCAAGGACGTTATCTGGCGGATGAGGAAGACGGCGTAGACGTCGATCCATCTCGTCCCAAACATGCTCTATCGGGGAGAGATCCGGTGAATTTGCAGGCCAAGGCAGTAAGTCAACGTTGTGGTGTTGCAAGAAATCCATAGCAACCGTTGCCGTATGAGGGCGGGCATTGTCCTGTTGGAATGTTAACCCAGGGCCATGACTTTGCAGAAAAGGAATTGCCACAGGTCGAAGAATCCCTGTAGCCCACACCAGTTAAGTTGCCCTGAACAATCAACAAAGGAGTTCTTTGGCGTGCTGTCATTCCACCCCAAATCATCACGGAACCACCACCAAAGCGATTCCTCTCCAAGACACAGGCCTGTGCATAACGTACTCCCACGCGTCTATAGGCACGTTGACGTCCACCACTATGGGAATGTTAAACCAAAACAAGGGTCTGCAGACATGATTTCGGTACCACATTCGACGAGCTTGTCGATGACGTTGTGTCAGGATAGGCCGTATGGCGGGACGTCGCGGTCTCATCCCGTGATGACGTAAACGTTGTCGAACTGTGTTGGGCTGGATACGGCGAAGTCCTGGGATGGTACGGACAGTCATCACTGCAGGCTGAAACCTGTGGCGAAGATTAGTCTGCCTTATCCATCTGTCCTGTCTTGGCGTTGTTACACGTGGACGTCCAGAACGTGGCCGATCGATGACGTCATTTGTGTTCTGGTAGCGTCTCACCAGTGCAGAAATGGTGTTCCGGTGGCAGTGGAAATGTGCAGCCACTTGTCGTTGAGACATTCCCCCACGGACCATCCCAATGGCTTCATGACGTTGTGCAGACGTGAGCCTTGGCATGCTATGCGTTTCAATAGCCGTTTAATTTTTTGAACGATCGCAAGGGCAGGGATTGAGCTTTCCAAAGTGACAGTATTGTGTGGCATTCATTTGCTCTGTTTCTCTTTCCCGGAATGCACGTGCAACAAAGTATTGCACGTCTCAAGGACGAACCCACTGACGTCACGGAACGTGGCACGTGCATGCAAGTTGGATACATGTCACTAATCTCTGAGTTTAAATCCTTATGTGTCTACAAAGGTTTGATAAATTTAGATTTTAAATTTTTGTATGCACAGTTTCTTTATGTGCCTAGTATATTTAGAATCCCTCTGAGATGAGCTTTCATTTGATATATCACATGGCATAGTTATTGACAAAATATGTGTTTGCATAATAATTTCAGTGATTTTGGCGGTCATCTTGAAATTGGCGGCCGTTTTAAAAAATGTCACAAGGTAGAATTTGCAGAACTTGTTATCTTGCACATACTTTTTTTACAATACCATGTCTAATGTTCTTAGCCTAATACTGCAGAGCACAGGGACAGCACATAAATTAAACTGTTAACTGATTTATCGCACGATTTTCGACTTTTGTTGAATCAGTTTTACGCCCTTTATGACAGTTATGATCCATGGTCCCGAGCCAAAAAAGCGTTCGTAGCGCTACGACAATCGTTAGCCTATGATAAACTATCCAGGTCGTAACGTTAAGAGGTGAGGTGAGGTGAAATTGGGTTTAACGTCGTGCTTGCATGTGTGTGTATGTGTAGGTGCGGCTGCTTGTACTAGCCCAGACTGAAGCTGGTTTTATAGTGCTAGCCCACTGAGATACCATGCCGCAGTGAAGCATGAATACCCCACTCAGACACATTATACTGACTCCGAGCCGACCAGTCCTTGTTGTAGCCATTAATGCCGAGCGCCAGGCAGGGACCAACAAGTACCATATTTTAACGTCTTTTGGAATGACGCGGTCGGGGATCGAACCCGCGACCTTCCACTCTCCGTGCGGACGCTGTAACCACTACACCACGGAGGCGGTCCGTAACGTTAAGAATGCTTGGTGGATCGGGACCAAGCCTGCGACCATGGTGTTCGTGTTCTTCATCTTTCCTTCTATTTAAAATACATCATCGGCTTATAATAATACAGATACACATATTTCATAACGGTAACACCTTCATTTAGATCTCCAGTTCCAGTGCAAAGCCATTAATGTAGAAGGAAAACAGTGTTGACGACAGATTACAGCCTTGCTTCTACTTCCTTGGTTACGTTGAAGAAAGTTGTTAAGTCGTTTACCCGTACAACTTACAGTTGCATTGTCATAAAATTATTGAGAGATTGGCAAAACGTTTTCCCGTAAATCCCAGCTGTTCTCAGCTTCAGACGAAGGCAGTTGGTGTCCATGTTATCAAATGCTTTATATTAGACCTAAGAAGCAAGCATTACTCTGCTGTAAACTGTAAACAAGAAGTCCAAACTTCTTTAGTTGGTATTTTATACTCTATCTTTAATTATTGTTAATATATATGTTGTTTTAGTCACGATATGGTTGAAATATTGCCAAAGTAAATTTAAATTTTAACTCACTCACTCTTTAGTTGGTAATACAATGATCAAAGAGAAACGACCAGAGTTGGCTTAGACATCAATGAGTTGAGCAGAGTTCCAACTCAACCTCAGAGCGGCATATCCTGCTCGTGGTCGTCCTTACACAAGCAGTCGGAATATCGGACTGCCGGACAGCGATGATGATGATTGGGGTGGCACAGGTTGGTTGGCAAGTCATTATACAGTGCACTTGTGACAAGGATTAAGAATGGAGTTTGTAACGTCTTGGGGGGCGGTGGGGTAGCCTAGTGGTTAAAGCGTTGGCTCGTCACGCCGAAGACTCGGGTTCGAATCCCCACATGGGTACAATGTGTGAAGCCCATTTCTGGTGTCCCCCGCCGTGATGTTGCTGGAATATTGCTAAAAGCGGCGTAAAACCAAAACTGAGTCAGTCAGTGTAACGTCTTGGTGACAATCACAGTCAAAAACTCAGTTACTTAAAAACCTTGCACTTATCACTTCCACCAGCAAAAGGCAGAAAAATTCAACAAAGTTTTTTTCCGATGTAGTGTATTTCACATGTTTTGAGGTGGTAAAGCAGCCGCTGAGGAACAGTCTGAAACTACTGAGCAGAACGTCCGACTCAACCCTTGCGATGTCAGGAAACACACACACACTTTGTATTCAAAGTGTGAGTGTGTGGAGGATGGTTCCAGCACAGTGCAGAGCAAGCATGTCCAGTTTGCAAACACCTGCGTCACTGGTTTTAATTGATCCATTCATGTAATTTTCACTAATATGTTGACTTTTACAGCGCATGGAATCTGACAATCGGGAGTGGTTATTCACTGGCGTCAGCGTTTTATATCATGTGTATTTGATCAGTTGAGTGATTGTTTGTTTGTTGTTAGACGCCGCACTCAGCAATATTCCAGATATATGGCGGTGGTCTGTAAATAATCGAGTCTGGACCAGACAATCCAGTGATCAACAGCATGAGCATCGATCTGCGCAATTGGGAACCGATGACATGTGTCAACCAAGTCAGCGAGCCTGACCACCCGATCCCGTGAGTCGCCTCTTACGACAAGCATGGGTTACTGAAGATCAATTCTACCCCGGATCTTCTGTCCGTGACAAGGATTAAGACCGGAGTTTGTAACGTCTTGGGGGCGGTGGGGTAGCCTAGTGGTTAAAGCGTTGGCTCGTCACGCCGAAGACTCGGGTTCGAATCCCCACATAGGTACAATGTGTGAAGCCCATTTCTGGTGTCCCCCGCCGTGATGCTGCTGGAATATTGCTAAAAGCGGCGTAAAACCAAAACTCAGTCAGTCAGTGTAACGTCTTGGTGACAATCACAGTAAAAAACTCAGTTACTTAAAAACCTTGCACTTATCACTTTCACCAGCACAAGGCAGAAAAATTCAACAAAGTTTTTTCCACTGTAGTGTATTTCACAAGTTTTGAGGCGGTAAAGCAGCCGCTGAGGAACAGTCTGAAACTACTGAGCAGAACGTCCGACTCCCTTGAACAGTAATAGGAACACACACACACTTTGTATTCAAAGTGTGAGTGTGTGGAGGATGGTTCCAGCACAGTGCAGAGCAAGCATGTCCAGTTTGCAAACACCTGCGTCACTGGTTTTAATTGATCCATTCATGTAATTTTCACTAATATGTTGACTTTTACAGCGCATGGAATCTGACAATCGGGAGTGGTTATTCACTGGCGTCAGCGTTTTATATCATGTGTATTTGATCAGTTGAGTGATTGTTTGTTTGTTGTTAGACGCCGCACTCAGCAATATTCCAGATATATGGCGGTGGTCTGTAAATAATCGAGTCTGGACCAGACAATCCAGTGATCAACAGCATGAGCATCGATCTGCGCAATTGGGAACCGATGACATGTGTCAACCAAGTCAGCGAGCCTGACCACCCGATCCCGTTAGTCGCCTCTTACGACAAGCATGGGTTACTGAAGATCAATTCTACCCCGGATCTTCTGGGGTTGAATTTGATCAGATTTGTTATGCTGTGTGCATATGTAAGCATTTCTCCGCTTGACTTTTCGCGGAATACACTACATCCGGAAATGAAAAAATGTTGTGTAGAAGAACGGTGTGCACAATAGTTCAGTCTGGACAAGGCACAGTTGTTTAATGTTATTTGGCAAAAACCAAGCCGTTAATGCGCCATAATCCAGGTCACCAGTTGATGAAGTTAAGATGCCTCCAACTTCAAGCATCAAGGAACTTGGGACCAAGGTCATTACTGCTGAGATGTGTTTCGTGGTGGTGAATTTCTCATCTGAAACATGACTGTAAAAGATCCAGTTTGACCCTGTTGAGCTGTATCTGTCCTCCGGATATGCACTGCAATTCCGCTTTGCACATACCTGGTTTGAACACTGCAAATGTTGGCCAAAACGGTTTGCTAAAGTTGACATGTTCGAATGTATGGAGAACAGTAGTTCTGTTTAAGTCAAAGAGGATGCATTTTCTGTCTTTGGGATTTGTCATTATTCCATACTGTAGCACTTTCCTTTCCCCTTTAGCATTAGCAACCGGTTTATGGAGACATAATGCAGCATTGCGATTTCTTCTGACAATGAGACAGAGACTATTATGAGCCGTGCAGTGTCTAAGATACAGAACCATGGAATCAGGCTGACGTGAAAGAGTGTTAGTAACATCAATTGAACTTTCAACACCGACTCCAACTTCAAAGAGAGCGTTCAATCTCTCGAATTCTTTTAGTATTTCGATATCTGCATTCACTTCCCAGTATTGTATGTCAGACGTAGACACTGGTTGGAGGGCTGAAGTTCCGGAAAAGTTCTTCAATCTCCTGCTGCTCTCAGGTGGTTGGGTCGTTTGGAGTTTACGACTTAGTTTCATGTCACTGGTAAATTCCACTTTCCCTGTGTTGGCTCTGTGGACATCAAATCCCACTTCCAGAACTGAAATAAAACAATGAATAAAATCATACAAATGATAATAATGGAATATCCACTTCACTATTTTCAACAAACATCTTGGAGTCTGTTTGTATTTAGGACTGTGGGGTAGCCTCGTGGTTAAAGCCTTCGCTCATCACGCCGAAGACCCGGGTTCGATTCCCCACATGGGTACAATGTGTGAAGCCCATTTCTGGTGTCCCCTGCCGTGATATTGCTGGAGTATTGCTAAAAGCGGCGTAAAACCTCACTCACTCGCTCACTCTGTAGGAGCGGTGGGGTAGCCTAGTGGTAGAAACATTTTCTCGTCATGCCGAAGACCTGGTTTCGATACCCCACATGAGTACACAGTGTGAAGCCCATTCCCGGTGTCCCTCGCCGTGACATTTTTGGAATATTGCTTAAGGCGGAGTAAATACATACTTGCACTGCATTTTTATCAACAATAAATTGAAGAAAGTCTTACATTTTACAGTAAAGGACTCCCTCACTCCAGTAAAGACAGCACTTGTCACACTTGGTGAATCTGTTCAAAAAAAGAAATAGGAATGGGTAATGATGCAACTACTGTCTCTTCAATTTTTTCGTTGTCAATGTCGATTCAAATTGCTAAAATCAAACCAAATATCATTACAACGTTCAGGTGTGAAGCCCATTTGTGACGCCGAGATATTGCTGGAATATTGCTAAAAGCGGTGTAAAACCTTACTCACTCACTCATTGCAACATTCAGGATATTACACTGAATGATACATTAGAAAAATATTTACACAGTAATTTGTGAACCTCACATGTGATGGTTATGTTTCCCGCTGCTTCACAGTCTTCAGCTGCTTCACGTGATGTATCTGTAAATAATGTGTACAATGCAGGAGGTGAGGTGAGGTGAAATTGGGTTTAACGTCGTGCTTGAGAATATTTCGCTCATATGACAACGTGCATGCGTGTGTATGTGTATGTGCGGCTGCTTGTACTAGCCCAGACGTAAGCTGGTTTTATAGTGCCAGCTCACTGAGATACCATGCGACAGTGAAGCATGAATACCCCACTCAGAGACATTATACTGACTCCGAGCCGACCAGTCCTTGTTGTACCCATTAATGCCGAGCGCCAGGCAGAGACCAACAAGTACCATATTTTAACGTCTTTTGGTATGACGCGGTCGGGGATCGAACCCGCGACCTTCCACTCTCCGTGCGGACGCTCTAACCACTACACCACGGAGGCGTTCGTACAATGCAGGAATATTGATGTATATACATAAACTCTTAATATTACGTCGTCACACTCTTGTTATTCAACGGTAGTGTACTGTATTTCGAAACAGTAAATAACATCTTAAGTCATGTACATATATCACCACCCGTGAAGTTCCGGGTTAGAATTGGTCTTTAGCAACCCATGCTTGCAGAAAGAAGCAAATAAGGGGATCAGGTGGTCAGGAACGCTGACTTGGTTGATGTATGTCATAGTATCCCACTTGCGTAGATCGATGCTCTGCTGCCAGTCATCAACCTGCCTGGTACAGATTCGATTATTTACAGACTGCCGTCATATAGCTTGAATATTGTTGTCTGCGGCGTTTAACAACACCAAAAACTCATACCAAACAAAATATTGTTGTTCATGCTATAAGTTTCCTGACAATGATCACAGTGATTCTACCAACTGTGACGATATAAACACTAGTTTTAGGACAAAGAAATACCTTGAATGTTTAGAAAGTACTTATGGTTGAAATTGGTTGCTATACATACTATCTCCAACTTGTCCAGATGGCATTTCTCTGTAAGTTGTACAGAACGTTCCGTGTGAGGATATGGCTCGCCTAATTTCCTGATGGTCAGGCGCTGAAAATTTGATTGATGATACTTCGTTTCGGACAAGCGGCAGTTCAGTCGAAGCGAGAAGTGAAGTTCTGTTGACGATAAATCGTTTCAAACTGAATAGATCACTCGGCGCCGTCACGCCCAAAAGTCCCTTGCTTATGTGTAATGCCGTCTCATTTCTTTCCTTGTGGGTTTTCAAAGTCTTGAGAATCTCGATGTTCGTGTTTTTAACGTTTTGTAAACACTGGTCAAGCTGGAATTTCACTTCTTGTTCCCTTTGTCCAAGAACCGTCTTCATCTCAGCAAATGAATGCTGCACCACGTCTGTCAAGGTCATTTTCGTCTCATCTAATGCTTGGTCGATTTCCTGTACTCTCTGCTGCAGTTGATCAATTTCGTCTATTTTCCCCGTGAGTACTCCAACACTTCGACCCGTGTCTTCTTTAATCTCATTTATTCCTGCCTCAAGATCACACACGTTGCAGTGCTTGTGTTCGTTTTGCGAACATTTGTAGCAAATAAGAATATTACAGTCTTTATCGTAGTGCTCAAGTGGATGTCCTTTGTGCAGACTACAGCTACCAGCTGTTTGACATTTACTTTCAGACTCAGCCAGATCTTGAACGGAAGTGACGTCATGATTTCTGGTTGCTTTCATGTCCTCGTGGGACACCTGACAGTGCTCACACAGATAGGCATCGCATTCCTGACACCAAGAAAGTGCTTGGTTACCATCGTTTCTGTTTGTACAAAGCAGCACAGAAGCATTTTCCATGGCAGTGATGATGAAAAGCTTCCGGGTTGTCACATGATCCTTTTGGAAACAGATTTCAGTTTCCCTTCTTATCATTTGGCAATTAGCACAAGAAAAACAGGGATCTGGATTGGATAGACAAGTATGGCAACATACTGGAAAGTTATTGTCGGTTTTCGTGAAACATTCTTGGCACACTTTGCAGGAAACAATATATTCATGACCTGGATTCAAACAGTTCTCACAAACGGAGTGTAAACATGGAAGAAGGTAAGGTTCAGGGACCCCGATACTTGAAAGATCGTAAACATTGTGAACATTGTAGCAGATCCATCTCAGAAGCCATCATAATGGTGTCATCAGTCTGAAAACGACAGGGCACCAAGAAATTAGTTATCAAAACTAACTGTAAATTGACTGAGAGAGTAAGATGTTTAGCACCGTTAGCATCAATATCAAACCTGTCTCACAGACTCACATGTGATCGGCGTTCATCTGACAATACATGTTCCTAAATAATCTTCATCCCTCCCGCTAAAATACCAAGAGTCAAGGGCAGCGGATCATCCTGTTTTGGGCCAAACATGTTCTACAACAGTACACTGTATTCATTCCAATTTAATTAGATATATAAACTTAAAGGTATCAGACCCTTCGCACAACCCCACCAATCCCAGTCTGGATCTTCCAGTCCACTTCGCTCTTAAATACGCAAAAAGACCGTCTACGTTATATGTTGTTAAGTACTATTGATTATGTATTTTTATATTGTTATTGTAATGAAGCCTGGTTTGCGTTTATCCCCATTTGTTTTATTTTTTAGTGTTTCATTAAACTAACCCTGTTCAATCAAGGGACATAACCCGAAGGTAACAAAACGAAAGTAGGTTTCCGTGAATCAACGTGTCAAGAACCGGAAATGAAAGTAGCTATGCAAAAAGGAAAACAATACAACTTCATTTCGTAAAAATATTTTTAACAACAGCTTCTAGTAGTACAGCCCGAAACACGACTATCAAATTAGCCGATTGTAAATCAAATGCGTATCTCTGGCTAACAGCTGAAAGTATTTCTAAGGGAATGTTCATAATTTATGACTAGGTGGGGGTGATGATGATTTTTTATGGAGAAGCATGAACAATGTGACTGACACCCCTAAAATTTATGTACAAAGTAAGTGCCCCCCCCCCCTCCTACGTTTCATGTACAAAATCAATAATAATAAAGACACACACACCAGTATGTTTTAGCATAATTTTTTAAACATTTATATGTACAAAATTGCTCTCTCTCCCTCTCTCTCTCTCACACACACACACATGCTCACGCACACACACACACCCTCCCACCCTCCCGTACAGGTATATAAAATTGATAACACCTACCTCCCCAGAACAAATGGGGACAAACACCCACACACCCCCACACACATACACACACATAAAATCATCATCACCCGCCTTGCTTTAAATTATGAACGGTCTCTGAAGGTGGATCAAACCGCTGTACACCCCTATTCGTATGTATTTGTGTCCGTTTGAATTAGAACGTCTAACGTATCAGCTTCATTCGTGATAGAACCTTATGTAATAATCCGGTGCGCCTTTCAATACTGGATTTCCCGTTCACCCACTCAACCGCTTATCATTCCACGCCCCTCCATGTCACAAACGTTTTTCTTAGCAGCGATGACGGACTGTTTGGTTCTCTTTCTGTCCCGTGTTTAATTTAAGTTAACATAATTTAACAATTGTATATGTTTATGCTCACCAGGTTGTCACAGCGATGTCGGCCGCTGTGCATTCACGGTCCACCTACATGTGACCTAGTTGCGCAACTGTGAAGGTGAAGGCCATAGTTGAAAGATCATTGCTAGCTACGTCATGTGTTTATCTAGTGGCCACCACGCTAAGTAGACTGAAATATGCTCATGGAAACGAATCAGGGAACACATGAAAGTACAAGTGTTCCTTTATTTATTTCCAGAATTTCAGCCACAGTGCAATACATACCTTTGTGAAGAAACCTGGAAAGAATAAACGAACACTTGTTCCCTTATATTGTTATTCGTTTCCATGAGTATATTATGCTGGTTGTTGAATTGATAAAATCTGATATTTTAAAGTCGTTTATGCATATAATATAACTTAGCCTTAGACAATTTAACTTAAGCTTAGTCAAAGGAATTCTCATTTTTAACCCTCCAAACAAATAAATCTTTAAGACTTTCCATTATACTTATTTTCATCATCAGATAGAAATACATTATTGCTTGAAATGTCACACCATTGCCCCTCATTGACTCTACTAGTACAATGTGTAACGGGGAAACAGTGTTGCACAACGTATAACGCTGCCTATAGCTAATTACAAATACTAGTAACACTGCCCCAGCGGTGCTCTCGAAATGCGTCCGCAAATCCCGGTACACAACCAACAAATATTGTTTTGTTATCGTTGCTGTTTTACGCCACGCTCAGCAATTTTCCAGCAATATATTATCGAGTTTGAACCAGACCATTAAACTTTAATGTAAATGCAACTGCATATTTTACGTGTTTCCTTTGGAGTTTAATATTCAGTATTCTGATTTCATATTAACATGTTCATGAATAGCAGGTTAACTTAGAGGCCCAGATAAGCTGCGTATCCGGGTAAAATACGCCTGGAAAATTCCCATTTACGCATTGAAAAATAATTGTTGCATACCAATTACGCATTAAAGTGTTAGATACGCAAAAAGTTTAAAACAAATGCGTATATATTTATAAAAATCGCTTGCGTAATGAAAATGACATCGATTGCTATCAAGTTGTACTGTTAGTATAGGGCAAGTGTTGTACTGTCAGTATAGGATGAGTGATTCCATTATATTTAAGTTGGTTTTGATTAGGTATGACATAAGGCAGAAGATACCTGCTTAGTAAACTTACTCAATGACAATACTTAGGTCAGTAAAATGACTGAAATACGCACATATTTGAAAGCAGTGGGTAACGGGAATTGAAATACCCACTCAACATTCATAATACCCACTCCAAAATAATACAGTGGGTACAGTACCCACATGAGCTAAATCTTATCTGGAGCTCTGTTTAATATACTACTTTAACAAAATGGACAGTATTTTATTAATATATCAGCATACATATTGTGTGCGTAATTGTTATGAGGAAAACGTCAAATATTAGATGCGGCCATAATTGTCTCTGTACAGATATATAGCACTATTAAAAGTTGTCAAATTCCTGGCTTGTCTTTGGAATTCAGCACAATACATTATCACGTACTTTCACGCTCCACTGGCAGCCTCCATGTGACGATGTCACATCACACAGTCCATTCAATATGTGTTGTCTGTTTTAAATTGTCAACTGATTTTATAGTATTTGTGAACGCCAAACTATTTGTTATTTGTATGTTTGGGATTTGAGAGCGCACCACTATTGTCCCTTTCTCTGCACTCCTCCCTAGTAACAAATAGTGAACTGTGTCAATTTTTTAATGATAGTTTGTTAAACAACTTTTTTAATTTTAGAACATAAATTCTGCAAACAAATCACAGAGTTGGTCTGATGTTTTGATTATGATCAGCGTTTCATTGAGTATTTTAGATTGCAATTCATCGGTCCGATTTTGAGCCAAACGGACTATATTATACTGTAACATGTATTTCTGGTGCATATTTTCTTTAACACATTATGAAATACAACAACAGTTTATTGTCTTTATGTAACCTGAACCAAGCAGTCGTTTTGAAAATATAAAACAAATATATAAGGGAGCAAAAAAAAAAAAAAAATTACATTGGAGATGCCGGGGATCGAACCCGGGGCCTTTCACATGCAAAGCGAACGCTCTACCACTGAGCTACATCCCCAACTCCACTTATACTGTGACATTATTTTGTATATACCCTATGTACTAATTTGCACAGTCTTCCCCCCTGGCTAATATTTTTAATAAACATGCTATTCATACGTTTAAATCGACACCAAAGTATGGGTTGTCCAGATTTAGGTCGTCTGTAACTCGTGTTTGACCTGGAACTACCCCGTCTCATTGTATTGAATCAATAACATTGGATACATATATGTACATGGATATACAAAGTTTCATATTTGTCTTACAAAAGATGAATGCATCATCTTCATATCACTCACCCATGTCATAGTATTTGTAAACAGCCCTTCAATTCAGTGTCTTGATTCAAGCATCCAATTACGGCGGTGTACACAGTAGCGAAGCGAGAAGGCGATGTTCAGCGATGTAACATACATTACAAGGGAGGTAACTCTTCTTACAGTTCCTGTTTTCTCGTCCATTCAATCTTGCGAGCATGGGGCACCAGTTCGATCTTAGGCTTCGCTGTCACTTTTAATTAGGTGGAGAAAGCAAAATAATATTTGACCATTGTATTATCAAAGACATTGTATTTGTAAACAGCCCTTCAGTTTAGTGTCTTCGTGTTCTCGTTGTAGAGAAAATTCCTTTCTATAATTTCATTGCCAATAAGACAAAAATATACAAGTTTGTGTCCAATAATTTATGTGACTTTCTGCTAAAAAATTGAAAATGGCACATAATTCAGGGGTTGATTTGTATCTGAAAGCAGATAGTTGATCGTAAGTGCGATTTTGTGATCAATAATTCAAAATGACAAAACAAACAGATGTGGTTTTGTGCCTCTGTTTTTTAGCAATAGCCACTCCAGTTCATGACAAGTCGCATCCAGAAATAAGCTACACGCAATTGTGTCCAAGTGTGGAATCGAACCCGGACCCCCAGCTTAACAAAAACAACGATTTTAAAATGAGAGGTTTGACCCATCTGTATAAGTTCTGTTAAGAGAACATTGTGCGAAAAGTAGCTAATCCCACAAGGGGCGGTGGGGTAGCCCAGTGGTTAAAGCGTTCGCTCGTCACGCCGAAGACCCGGGTTCGATTCCCCACATGGGTACAATGTGTGAAACGCGTCTCTGGCGTCCCCCCGCCGCGATATCGCTGGAATAAAAGCGGCGTAAAACTTAACTCACTCACTCTAATTATATAGTCACGTAGGAATACAGGATATTGAAATTCCAAATTGAACGTGGATTTGGGCGCATGCACCACTAAAAATGTGAAAATAAGAAGCTTTGATACACGTTTTCCTGGTGCTTTGAACGAATTTTACGCTATTGAGGTGTGTTCTTATTCTGTCATTCACCAGATGAAGGGGCAAGAAGTAGCCCAGAAACGTTGTGTTGTAAATATTGAAGAAGTTGTAAATCCATATACGCTGCTATGTTGTTTTACATAGTTTTTAGATATTTTCTACAACTGCAACAGTGAGGTATTGAAAATACGTATTCATCAAAGTGACTTTATCGCCAGCTTCGATGGCAGAACGCGGACCTGTACAACCCATGCAAACAACACTATCCCATCTGACAACCCAAGTTTTGTTTTGTTATGCCAACGTTATGTTATCCTTTTCTCGTCAAATCTTGATAAGCAGCCTTTGCTGGAGTTTTTACCTAAAATAATAGGTCAAAATAAACGATTGTTCGTAGTTCGTACCACTTTCTACAATACAGCTTATACATTTTGATATTATTTTTGTTGTGTATTTTGGGTGTTTTTTTTAACATGCGCTATTTAAAAAAAATGAATGAATAAACAAAGGCATATATCATTCCACCAGAGTTATCTACTTTGAATATTAAAGTTTAGTTCTACAGTAACCTGGAATTCAAGTCAAGTGTTTGTTTGGCGTAAAACTAAACTCACTCACTCACTCATCGTACGTCGGTGGCCTCCCGTTATAAAACCAGCACTAAAGTACTGTCGGAAATAGAAAAAAGAACAGTTTTTTTTCACATATATATCTACAATTGATTAAGTTAAAACGTGAAAGTGTGAAATATCTGTGAAACTAAGTTCGGCCTAACTACAGTCTCAGTGGTAGGGCGATAGGAAAGGTAAAAATATGCCTTTACTGAGGAGAGATTAGTGCAGATATGAGCAATGCGACTTATTTAGAACAGACCATGGTTTTATGCAAATTAGCGTGCGATGATATTGAATTTCAAAGGACACTTTTTAAATGCCTATTTTGAAACTAGACTTAGCTTCATTATAAACGATAGCTGACGTAAAAAATACTAACTTTAATACTGAAACTATTAAGGATGTAGCCACCATGGAGCTTCACTATCACTTTAAAAAGAAACAGGTAGGAGGGGTCGTCTGAAAAGAAAAACCAGGACGGGTGTCGCAGACGGTGGTTGGGGTCGGGCTGGGGGATAGAGATATCAGCTCAGATAAGATAATCCTTTAGGGGAATTAAACTGGGGGAAGTAAACGGCATGTCTTAACAATTAACAAATAATATCCAGTCCTGTCGATATTGGGGTGGTCTTGCCACCTACATATTTTGAGACATTTAATACGATAGTTGATTTAAGCTTTTCTATGGTATCATATTGTTTTACATATCTCAACGTAAACGTTATGAAAGACACGTATGATAATCAATAGATGAGACATATTCAATACACATGAGGGGCGGTGGGGTAGCCTAGTGGTTAAAGCGTTGGCTCGTCACGCCGAAGACCCGGGTTCGATTCCCCACATGGGCACAATGTGTTAAGCCCATTTCTGGTGTCCCCCGCCGTGATATTGCTGGAATATTGCTAAAAGCGGCGTAAAACTAAACTCA